GACTTCCAAAGGAATTCCATACCGTGTCATGACCATAACTGTTGTGCAAACTTGAAACAATACGGATTAGGTTGAACTTGCCTTTTAGCCGTTCTCAGGTCCTTCATGACGGAAAGCGACATATAATTCTGTGCTATTTGAGAATGCGGTTCTCCAGGTCATACGCTGTTTCGACATACATGGATGAATTAATATGAAATTAGAACTGCCATACAGAATAACTTGTGTATGATGAAAATATTTTAATGTAATCCGCAACTCTGTCAATCAAGTGAGGTAAAAGCTCACTCCAGATGGACAGGGTAAATGGCCAGGTCGTTGTCTTACACTGCGTAACGTTGGTAACTGCAGTTTACTTAGCCCAGAAAACCTAATCGGCCCCGCCTTCCCAAGGCAATTTAATCGGAAGACAGCAATACATGAAACAGATGTCCGAAAAGATCTCCGTCAGCAGATTTTGTGCCTCTTCAAGCCATCCATAAATTGGTCGTAATTAATGACAAAACTCACGTCTGTACTGGACAGCAGCAATGAAGACCCTTTCTCCAAACTCTTTGAAAATTTGCGAGGCTGCACTTGGAATACTTGCTACACGCCTGGACACTTTAGGCAGTCCAAGATCAAAGGAATATCGAAAAAGTTCGAACAGGGGCCGTTAAAATAACAAGGGGTCAAAATCATTCGCCTTATTTAATGCTGCTGGCATTTAGAACTGTGGACGGATCGAACTTAAATGAGACTTTGACAATTATTTCGAAAACTCGCCGCAGAAAATCTATGCGTTCATTATTCAAACTTCGTATTCAATAGGCGAACTAAGATATGCCGAAGTTCGCCTGCTGTACCAAGATTGTCATGTTCTCTTAACCCTTCCCGCTCTCGGGAAACATTTCATTCTTTTCTGAGTCTACGTACTTATCTTCGTGATTATAGTCTATCTGTAGCCATTATATATTTGGATCCTGGTATATTATTTGAGAAAGTGTGACACAGACGACCCTTAATTGAACTGGGACCTCTGGGACTTTATCAGTGTCCTCAGTAACTTTACTAAGTCACTATTATCTTATGAGTAGCAAAAGGTCTTAGTGATGTTCTTATTCTCCAGTTAGAGCCATATTATAGATGGTGTCTTCCATGGAAGTTCGTCTTGTTCGCTTTTGATTTTACATTGCACTGATGATATCTCATCGGCAGACAAACACTCCTGGTTTTTATTTATGCTCATCATCTCAAATGTGCATAATTTTCACCAAATATACTACTCAGAATTCTGATGTGCCTGCCCTTTTTGCATATGTATATTGAAGGGTTACAGGCAGAGCCCTTGATGACCCTATTTATGTACAGTGCTTTCGCAGATTTATAATCAAAAATAAAATTAAATTGCAGGCATTTAAAATGTGATTGGGTCACAGTTCAATCGTAATCATAGGGTAGTGCATGGGGTCTCTGTAAATTAGTGCGGAAGAGTGTACATGACAGATTTTACAAAACTGGCTGTGCATAGTCATGCTGTGCAAGCCGATTTCTGTCGAAAACTAGACGAGCAAGTTTTCTTTTAAACACACAAACTGTGTCAGCCGTTACCATCTCGCTTGGAAGCGAGTTCCACGGTCGGACAACCCGTTGGCTGAATGAAAATTTTCGTCGGTCTAAACGCGTGCGCTCATTCCCGACTTTGTATGCATGGCCGCGTTGTTGGTTTGTGCGGGCGAACTCAAAGAAGTCCTCTGCTCTTAATGCGCAACCCTGGCCGCGAACATTCCGGAAGGTCCAGAGTAGACTGCAGTTTATTTGTCTATAAGAGAGAGGGAATAGGCCAAGCAAGTTCAGCCTCTCCTGATAATACAAATGTTTTAGACCGTCGACCATCTTTGTCGCTTTGCGTTGTGCCTGTTCGAGTAAGTTGATACCCTTCCTCATCCATGGTGAGGCTGCTGGCATTCCATACTCTAGATGAGGTCTTACAAAGACACCAAAGAGTCTTTCGAAAAATTCGGGAGGAAATATTTTAAATGCACGTCTGATCCAGAGTAGAGTACTAGTTGCCTTCTGGACCATCTTTCTGCAGTGTTCTGATGGCGATAGATTAGTGGTCGTCCATACACCCTAATCTCTGTGTCTTTCCACAGTTTCTAACCTTGTCCCGTCAATATAATACTGGTGTTTGGGAGAGGCATTGCGGCCGGTGTTCAGGTGCAGAACCACGCATTTGGACACGTTAAACTTCAAAAGCCATCTGTTCGACCAAGCACACAGTTTGTTGATGTTCGACTGCAACTTCTCTGCGTCATCATCGCATTTGATTTCACTCCATATTTTGATATCATCCGCGAACATGAGAGCCTCGCAATTCACTTCGCTGATGCAGTCATTAACATAAATCAGGAAGAGTACTGGGCCTAAGACAGAACCCTGTGGGACACCACTTTCCACCTTTACCATTCCGAGGTATAATTACTAACGACGACTCTTTGTAGTCTGGAGGACAGAAAACTCCTGATCCATTTAAACATTCCCCCTTGAATCCCTACATCCCAGACCTTTTGTAAAAGAAGCCTGTGTGGGACACTGTCAAAGGCCTTCCTGAAGTCAAAAAAGATGACATCTACTGGAAAATCCTTATCGGTAGCTCGTGTCCATTTCTCGTGCGAGTAAAGAACACTCGTTAGGCAGGAGCGCCCTGGACGAAAGCCGTGTTGGGCATCGCACAATATTTTGTTCTGTTCCAGGTATTTCATCAAGTGTCTTTTGATAATGTGTTCCATTATTTTACACGCGATGCAAGTAAGACTGACAGGACGATAATTTCCGCAGTCAAGCCTTGAGCCTCCTTTATGGATCGGAGTAATGAGTGCGCACTTCCATTCTTCCGGGAGCTCGCCGTCTTCAAATGACTTTTGATATATTGCGGATAAGGGTTTGCACAGTTCATTAGCAAGTTCACGAAGTGCTAGGGCGGGAATTCTATCTGGGCCAGGCGATTTCGCAGGTTTCAGCCGGAGTAAGTCGGCCCTAACTATGGTAGATGAAAAGAGTGGTTCCTCGGTTAAGGAGGGTAGGGAGGGGATAGGATGGGGAAGGGTACTGGGAGGAGAGGTTGGTTGGCGAATGGATGGATGGGCAAATATAGAACTAGGTTCTCGGGTGAAAACGGACTGAAAGAAGTCGGAAAGGAGGGACGCTTTAACCTGATCATCAATCTCCACTTTTGTGTTGAGCGCAATATATTTCGAGGAATTCTTACCTACTTAATGTCGCTGCATGCGTTTTGGACCTAGATGTGCACTCAAAAAGTGCTTTTCACTGCACCCCTGTGAATGAATGTTCAACCATCAGGGATGGAGGTTCAAGCTGTCAACGGCCTACATCCCTCACCACGTGTCGTTAGACTTGCGACTAAAGCTTCCCAGATTTGTCACTTTATTTCATGTAATTCCTACCTCTCTGGAATTAAATTTAAACCTCATCTAATTATTATTTTTCCTATTCTTGCGTAATGCTGCCTATTACTTATTTAAATGGATGGGACATTTTGCTAAAAAGAAATTCTTGACTACAAGCCATCCGAATGGTGCCTAAGCAAATTGATGCTAACTAACCAACTTGAAATTTCTGCATGTTCCGAGACCAGCCGCAGGTTTCTGTCTCAGTTTCGGATCAATAATAGTTAAAATAATCTTCGGATATCAGCCCTTACCCTGTTGGCCGTTTATACAACCTTTGTGACTCTTCATTGATTAAACCTCCACCAGCCCCCAATACCTCCAAATGTTCTCCCCTCCTTTCTTTCAGGCATACATTTTTCTTTGGAATAACCTGTCAATCGATTTTAGATCATCAATTACCTTATCGGCACTTAAGAAAACATTGTGTCTTTGCCTTAAAAGTGACTTGATTCACCGCATATTTTTCCCGTTCTTATCGTTCTTTGCTAAACTTAAGAGAGGCTGTTGGTAATTAACGACGACGCTGCCAAATTACCTTATCTGGCAGAATTTTCCTTTTTGCTGGTGGTATCACTAGCCACGATCTATAATCAGACATTTCGATTCTTCCAGTCCATGCACCATGTCCTTCACAAATCACGATCTCCTCCCTAACCCACATCTCAGCCAAATAATCAGGGCCATATTTTAGCGCACGCCCTCAGTTACCTCGATTCACTGGCCAGTGATCCTCAGCAGAATTCCGTTATGGCCAGTAGGATGCGGAGACCTCCCCGCATTGTCTGCCTCACGTCAGGTCTGTCGTAACTTAGGATACATGTGGCAGTATAATGACGCTTGCTTCTCAGTTGCTGATCTGCCTTTCTGATCCTATCCTACCTCAGAAGAAACCTACACTGCTGTCCTTTGAAAAGTAGTTTTTATTCAAAGTTAGCTCGAACGACGAGAGATTAAACTTTTCCAACGCTGTGAATTCCAAACTGTCTTGGAGACTTAACGAACCTTTACCGAACCATTCAGCTCCTCATTAGAAAGTCCTGTTTCTACGTTCTTTTATGGGTTTGATGGTTTGCGTCTATGTCTGTCCCAATTAAAATAACCGAACTGATCTGGTTTTGCTCTCCCATATTTTAGTTGGGCATTCCGATGATCATCTTCGATTTTGCATCGGCGTCATTCCCATGTTGCATTTTGAAGTTAACATTTTATCGATTAGTCTACGCGCAGTACACGTTGACCTTGCTGTTTTACATCGATTTTCTCTGTCGAAATTCAAACCTTTGTACCGTTCTCGCTTGTTATTTCTGTTATGCAACGACCAGCAGCAGTTGAGAAGCGGCCGCGAAATTTTGTGGTACCATTAAATTCTGCTGTCCTTGCTTGCTTCAAATTAATTCCGGGGAAATAGTCCTTCAAGTTCAACTAACTTACGATTCAGATACCATATTTTCTGGACAATTGGTGATGGGACTGACCGAAACGGCCGTTGTTTAACCGATTGGTAAAAGTGCCGCTTTGAAAGTTGTGACTGTTTGAATTCGCCAGGAGATGGAGAGTGGTCGCAACAGCGAGTATTTTGAGATTCCGCTTGAGGATGACGATGCTCTCAAGTCACCGAGATCCCCTTTTACGCCGCGGGCACTTTCAAAGCCCAAGTCTGCTCCCGTTAGCGCTAGTGATTTAGCCAAAAAGTTGGAGACGGCCAGCGAGCGCCGCAGTCGTGCTCTTCAGGTAAACGCCAATGGCCATGATCTTGTCAATTTAAATTGTCTTTCAATCTACTATTGGCTTTTATCTCGCTTTCTGGTTCTTCACCTTAGCCCTTACGTCAGCACTCGGTGATGTGTTGGTGTTTTTACGCTGGCACCCGTTGTCGTGTTCCCTGTCATGACCCAAACTGTTTGTATACCTACAGTCGGCACAGTTAAAATGCCGCTACCTTGACCTCGATCATTTTCGAGGTTGTGTCTACGTCCAGTTTAATTTGCTTAGTTGGCCTCCACTGAAACGGAGGCTGCACTTCGAATTGTCTCCTCTCTTGCTGTAGACAGGCTCCAGACAATCTTCAACTTGAAGACCAGTGTCGTCTCGGCATGCGTCCACAGGTACACCTGTCTCGTTGGATGCCGCACCCAATCTGTTTGTTGGATACGTGATAAAGACGTATACTGAGCCCGGCTCCGTCTAGTTCAGCAGGTCTTCTTGGCTGTCTTCGAGTGCTTACTGCGTACCTTTATCCCCACTGCTTTTATAAACATGTTAACCAAGTTTACCAGCGATTCTACCATGTGACTACGTACGAAGGATTCTGGTGTCGCAACCGTCATCTGGTCTTGCAAGTGCTTCCTGTCAGTTATTTTTGGGTCTGCATAATCAATTGCCTAAGCCATATTTATTGCTTAGAATTTCATTGGCCGTGCGAGTTTGCGAGGAATTGTACTTGTTCCGGCGGAGTAATACTCCCGATACTAGGCGTTGATTAGTAATACATCCGGGGTAAGGCATAATACTGCCTCTTCGGTATGTTTTTTATAAGCTTGTAAAAGGGGAGGTAAAACGCAGGTAAGGCAGAACGTTAATAACGCCTGAAAATATTTATCCGACGTCCGTGGACCGCTGTGCCCTGGGCGTTTCGGTACCTGTTTACCCCTTTAGTTGGGGACCTTGTATCCTACTCACACGCCTTGTGCATATCCAGAAATGCTCAGTGAATGGGTGGTTTTCTCTGGTAGTGCTTTTCACTACCATAACCAGTCCAGTCTTTCTACGTATCTTAACTGGCCGCTTTCTGAAACCCTTTGCGTTCGCGAACACCACCACATTGTTATTGCCGTAGACTTGACCGACCCGTTTTTATTATTTTTCCTAGACATTGTTCGCTACTCGTATTACGTCACTCTGTCGATCCTTGGCCTCAGTAATCATTTTTGTCTCCGTTTTATTTGCTTAAGTGACTATCGCCAGTGCAAAATTAGTCGACTCAAAAGTCTACTGGATACGTATCCAAGTTAACAGAAATTTGTGGAGGCATACTACCACAGTCTTGTCACCGCACGACACACAAGTAAGCCGTAAAACAGGGACGTCAGGATGCCTTATTGAGCGGTGACAGCATTTGCCATACAATACCCTCATAGCTTATGCCATTTTACAGGTAACTGCCATATGAGATCGGTGCCCAGTCATGCCTGAGCGTATAGTCACCGCGTGGTCGGCGTCTGCGTATTCACTTGACGCGAGTGCAAGCTTTTTGCCGTTATTGGGTGCACTTGGTGGCTGAAAACTAAGCCAGTTCTAGTTGCTACTTTCCACATATCTGGTTCTACTCCTACTTAGATTCCTAAGTTTTAGTTGAAGTTCAACCTTTCTTCTTTGGTAGGAAACAAAGGAGAAGAACGAGCAGCACGTACAGAAGGTTACAGCCGCAGTCAAGGATACAAAAGAGTCGACGGAACATCGGATTGCAGAGCTGAAGGAAAATTTAGAAATGGACTTGGCGTTGAAGGATAGGCGTCGCCAGCAGATACTCGAAGAGAAAATTGGCTCCGCGAAGAAAGAAGTAAGCAATCCCTCGAAATAAATATGCTCGGTTTCCAGACTGAAAAAGTAGAACGGTTGCGGTCATCGCTTAGCGATGCCTATCACGAAAAACTAAAAGAAATAGAACTTGATATGTCCAACAAAGAAAATAACCGCAAATCAATCCTATTGGGTATTAAAGAAGCCTGCCAACAACAGGTACACCAATGCTCTATTTTGTGCATTTTTTCAGCTCGACCGAGTCTCGGAAGTGCAATCACGCCGTTCGCTGAGCACTTCTGTTAAAGAACAGGAATGAGTGCGTCTTCCCAGCGGACCAACAGATGATCAATGCCCTGCTATTTCACTTTTGTGACCCAAGTCGATTTATCAAAGTTAATTCACATGTGCATTTTTATCAAAATATTGCAGTTGTTTGTTTCTTCGTGCTTTCCCAGCTAGTCCTAGGTTATTCAGTTTTATTCTGCCACAAACCGGTGTATTCCTAGGCTCGGTCAATCGGTGTATAAGTCGCATGCTTGCCTTTTTGACCTCTTGTTTCAGCAGCGCGTATCTGGTAACTCTTCTATCAGTTATTACTGACCATCTTCGAGGGCCGCAGCATTGTTGTCGAGATTCCATCTTTTTTGGTGGTGGAGGGTAAGGTCTACCGTTTTTAGACCACTTCGGTGTCCGGCTAATGTGAAGTGGCCCACTGGCGCAAGTCAAGCGCTAGGTTTCTTCACTCACTCCCTTTTTATTTGAGCGCACATTTTTCTTGACCCCAGGGCAATGAGGAAGGTTCAGACTTCTGACCGTTCCGTATTGGCCTTTTGTCCTCTCCCTTCCTATGGTATTTATGCGGGTGGAGCTAGTTGAGTTTCCAGCATTGTTAACTGAAAACCCTTCATGTTGGCAGTGGAGCGCAGGGGGCTAACTGGGGACCAAATACGTAGGTGTTTCCACCGTCGCCCACCCCTGCTATATCTTATCCCACAGGCTAGTCACAAATTCGATCTTTGGAAACCGGTGACCTGGTTCACTGTGGTGTGCTACGTTCGATGTGGCTACTGACTGCCCGGCTCAAAGGACGCCTTGCGTCAAATAGAGGATTTGATGAACAGTTCAGTGCCTTTGGCGTTTTATTTATCTAGCAGCAGTCTGCGTTCTCGTCTTCCGAAGTACTATCGTAGCTTTGGCCTCGTATCTGGTCTCGCAGCCGTTGCCTGTGTTGAGACAGTGCCATTCATATGGCGTAATTTTTTTTCTGAAGGAGCGGACGGTGAGTAACGTTGAGGCAGTGCGGGGCAGCCAAGCCATTAGTTGTTCCACTGATGATTGCCGTTGTCTCACCTGAGGAGAAGTCGACACTCAAATCGAGGATTGATGATCCAGCATCCTCGCGCTGGTGCGAAGGAGTGGGTCTCTTAAAGTCCACGTGTTGGCGAATGCTGAAGGAATGTTAGAAAACCGGATAGAGTTAGATTGCAGTGATCACGATCAGATGTTTGGCGCCTGTTCCCCCTATGGTTTCTCTAAAACCGAACTTCGTAATAAGAAAATCCTAACTGCAATTTTATCGATTTTTCGAGTAGCTCCAGGGCAATAACGAAGAAAGTACTCATAGATAGGACTAACCAGAAGGAGGGGCGGTTGCTGAATGATCACTTGGGCTATTCTGTGATTTCTTAAATGGTTTGAAGGGTGACAGCCCAGTGGCGAGGGTTAGATTACGTCCTCGATCGACGAGCACAAGGGCGTCAACACCCAGAGGACCTCAGTCAAAGTACGATCTGGTCAGTAGATAAACAGAGGGCCAGAATGGTCCAGCTAATCTCGTTGGGCGGGCCTAGTATGCGCTGAATGGTGTATGATTAGTCAATATCCATAATTTCGCCTTCGTTTGGGTGATGTCTCACTCCGGAGCATACTAGGAATTAGAAGAAGAAAATTGGCTCTCCGGAACAGGTTTATTTAACTGCTGACGTTTCAAAGAGCTGGGTCGGCTCTACATTGTCAAAGCGTAAACGGCACCTAGTCGATCAGAAATTTAGTTTAGTGGCAATTTGTGTTGGCCGGCCTCATGCTGATTGGACTTTAGTCGGTCTGGCGGTTCTTGTTCTTCCTCACCGAGTAAGCTCAGCGTCGGGCTATCTCCGTGCTGTCTTCTTAAGTCCGGTGTGGTTTTTTGGTCCTGAGCTCTACGATTGTGATGACGTAGAACTTTGTAAGCTGCAGGAAGGTCCAGATGCCTGTTGATAGAGTGGCCATCGGAGAAGCACGCCTCGAGAGTTAGCCGTTCTGTTTTTGTGTTGCCTCGGCCTAAGATGGTAGCGCTCTGGAGGTCAAAAGTATGCCCCGTTTCTCCAACGTGTGTTGCTAGTTGAGAATTAGGGTCTAACCTCCGAGTGGCCGACTTATGTTCTTGTAGGCGAGTTTGCAATTTCCGCCCAGTTTCGCCCACATAGTTGCAGTCGCCCTCATTGCAATTTATTTTGCAGATGACTGCTGAGGTTTCAGCGGATGGCAATGGGTCTTTAGGTTGCATCAGGCGACGTCGAATTGTTGCTTGTGGTCGATGGGCTATGCCTATTCAGGTGGGTTGTAACAGCCGGCTGGGTTAGGCCACTCTGTCGCATGTGGTGACCGGTAGTTCGACCGTGGCCTACGATGTCCACAGCGGGGTTAGGACAGGCACCGTGGTAGATTTGCGCTATGTGCACCGCAATCCTTCTTCCCCACATGGACCCGGAGGCGAGAGAAGGCGACTGGCACAGCGAAAAACCCGCACCTAGGCGTACCACCACTGGCCCTGATCCACAAGAGACACTTGACCAGGGTTTTAGACAGCAGCAAAAATGGCTAGAGGCGGCAGTGATCTCAATGGGCTCGGCGTGAGCCCACTACCAAACTCCAATGTAGGCGTTTCTAATGGGCGCACATTCCTGATAACGCCTGACGGGCTCCGATCTAGCTCCTGTGTTGGTACTGAGCAGCTCACGTGTGGAGGCCAGGGTTTTTGTGGCAAGCTCAGACGGGCTGTTTAACTGATAGCCTGTGCGTCCGGCTCCGGTCATCATGCTAGTATCTAGCCACCCTAGCCTGGTAGATGGGGACGAGAAGGGTGTGGTAGATGCCACGAAAGTCTGCCTCACTACAAACCAATTTACACGCAGTTCCCCATTGCTGCACACACTTCGTGGGGCACATGGTGGGTGTTGTCGCTCGCGACATTTTCTGCACCGGTCCTTGTTGCTCATTTTCCCATCAGAGATTGGCATTTCCAAGGAACTAGTCTGAGACCAGTCTCATACATTGGGGTCTCTTAAGACTTCCGTGTGAGTCCGCGTTATCTGTTGTTACTCAGCTCATGCAGAACCGTTTATAATGCATATTGCCAATTCCGGTGACGCTCTGGTTATAAAGAATACGAAAGCTTATTTGTAGGCCTACTATAATATGTTGATACGGGTGTAGTCGGACTCAGTGATCTCGCCAGTTGTATTTCTCCACGCCTGTCGACCTGTGGCTGCGCATCTGGAGCTTAACACATTCTCCCATTAAGTGACAGGGACCGGATACAGGAGGTCTGAGAATCAGCTCCATGTCTTGATAGACTCTGACGCGCCAGGTTTCTAGTTGGTCTTTTCTCCAACGCCTCCGGATGGTCAGCGGCTAGAGATGAAGTGCTTGCGGCCATTGAAACGTCACTAAATAGCGGTTGTATTTAGAAAAAAAACAGACCTACAATGAATCGACTCTGCATGATTGTCTGGAAGACAAGCGAAGGAAGTCCGATAATTATCTGGGCAGCAACGATACACTCCACTGATAATAAGCAATTTCCATCATAACCGTTTGCGGAAATGTGAAAGATTATGAGCTTATGAGAAGACTCGGGATCTGCTAACTCAGAGGAAATTAACAACCAGACAGCTGAAGTGTCAGTGTCGAGAAAAAAGCAGTCTGCCCTACGTGAACATGCTTTCTAAGTTTTTTGAAAAGCTGAGGATAGGTAGGACAAGCATGAATTTTAAAGACGACTTTTTGATCATATCTCCCATGACCCTCTCCGTAGGACAGGGGAATTGGGACGATCTGAGGAAAAAGAAGTGCTCACCGGATCGAAGGAATTGTCTTGCTGACGTTTCGGAGAGCTTGGCCGGCTCTCCGTTATCGAAGCGTTTAGTGCGAAAATCGATCAGAATTTTGAATGGACAGCCAAATTGGTTAGACTTGGGCTGATTGATTTTTTCTTCTTTCGCTGTCTTCGCGTGCCGGCCGTCGTTTGTGGGTGTTGGTGGCCTCCTGTGTTGTTTGTCGTCACCCCAATTGGGGTCAATTGCATTGGTGCCCTCCCTTTGGGTGAATTAGTCGACGGGCTCTGTTTCCCCGGTATTCTTAAGTTCTGGATGACTGTCTTGTTATGGTCATGGCGTATGTAGTGCCGTAGGGCTTTATAGGCCGTACGGGACCTATAAAGCCACCGATCTCATGTAATGTTGGCCGAAATTCTGAAATGCGTGTTCCATTAGGAAGGATTACTTAGCTGGGGTGGTAATATTGATTATCATACGGCACACAATGTTTCGAACCAGCCAGGATGTTAACTCTTGAGTGCACTTCTTTTTAACCTTCTGTAGAAACTGTAATCGGTCAAAAATTATTACTTGAGTAGCATGCATTTTTCACATTGATTTTCGACGGTCTTGTAAATTCAAATAGATTTTATTGAAAAAACGCACAAATATGCCTGCTTTTAGTCGTTTGGTAGAAAATTATGTCGTCTTTATATTTTATACACAAAGAAAGGGTATATTTAGGTTTCTATTTGTGAGATTTTTCAAGACCTGCAATGTCCATTCATACGGCATCCTACCTGTCCGTTTGCCAGTGCTTCTCATGAAATGTACAGCGTAGTTCGCTTCCATTTTACGAACTCCACATGGTATCTTTTAATAGGCATAGAGGAACATATGATTTTCCTTACGCAGTGGCTGATCAGGTTCAAAATCATTCGGGAATTAAAAAACTTTTTCAAGACCTAAATATACCCTTTCTTCGGGTGTTAAATGTACAGCCAGCGTGATCTTCTACCAAACGAATAAAAGAAAGCATATTTTATGCATGCGTTTTATAAAATCTATTTGAATTTATAAGACCGTCAAAAATCAATGTGAAAAATGCATGCTACTTAAGTATTACTTTTCTTACCGAATACGGTTTCTACAGGAGGTTAAAAAGAAGTGCACTCAAGAATTGAAATCCTGGCTAGTCCGAAACACTGTATGCCGTATGATAATCAATAGTACAACCCAA